GGCGAGAATCCTACTAGGTATAGAAAAGTAAGTAACAGTAATTGCGTATCGACACTGTATATCAAGAAAAGGAGAAAAAAATAAAAATTGTAAAAGCCGATGATTAGATTTCTCTTTGAACATTAAAATTTCTCTTCGAAGTAAAACAACTTTTACTTGGAACAACATTCAACAACGTTATCAACCATTTACGAAATAACTTCACGTACATCCACACGCACACACGTACAAATCTCGTCCAACTCGTACAATTTTCTTTCGATTACACCGTTACTCAATACCTCGTGGCTTCGTTTTATTATGCGCCACGAAACGAGCGAGCGGTCGAGCCGAGTTTCAACGAGTTCAGTTTCATACTGGACAGGAAAAACTTCTCAAAGCTGATGTCGTTAATCGTAATGAAAACGAATCAAAATCGTGTGCACGATCGAATCGAACACGTTTCGTTTCATTTTTCGATAAATCGGTAAATAATTAAAAGCAACGAATTAGGTTCATTAAACGAAGAAAGGAACGATAGACGATCTAAAATCCGAGCCAATAATTCCTTTTTTGCGGGAATAAAAAAACGTGTATAAGTGTGCACGCGCGTAATAAGAAATATATACGCGATGGGGCTATCGTCCATTTTAATTTTGAAAGGAACCGGAAACCGAGAACGACACTGGAATTTTAAATCGGATGAAAATTGTCCGCTATCTCGTTACGAAATCGAACTCGTTTCATTCCAGTAACGATTACGATTTCTTTACGATACATTTGAATATTTCGTGAGCTTTTCTCTCTCAGTGGAAAGAGATTTTGGATGGAACCGGAATTCTAAATTTAAAATATCCTCCCCGCACCCTGGACGATTCGATTTTCTTTATTAAAAATTCACGAAACGAGCATAAATCGTCTCCCACGCAACGGTAAACTCCCTGGAACGATATCTCCTTTGTAATAATTAGAGGCGACAAGCTCGGGAGGAAACGAGATGCATTCCATTCGAGAGAGAGGGTGAGAGGCTCGTGACACTCGGGACGAGAGTGGGAAAGAGACAGGCAGAGAAGAGAAATTGCGTACAATATGTAACGAAACAAGTGCCGTTAGTTGGCTCGTGTGTCAGAAACGGTTTCACGTTTCCCTCCGATTGTGTACGTCAGCCTAATTTAATAATCCCGATATTAAATTTTAATAATTAGCCTCCGTGTACGACGATCGCGGCATCGATGCACAACAACAACAACAACAACAACAACAACAACAACAACAACAACAACAACAACTGTTCCTCGTTAAAGAGGATATTTTCACTATTATCGTAGCGAATTCGCGCGATCGACATGCGGTTGAATCGGATCCGTTCGGTGCTCGTTATGCAAAATCCATGTCCGACCGACATCCGCGACAACAATTAACGACGGAGGAACAAGGCGAACGACACGAGCGTGGAGCAGAGCCATGTGATGCACGAAGAGGAAAATAGAGAAGCAAGGAGAGAAATGATGTGAAAACGTTACCTGTCGACATCATTGTGCACTTCCACGAGCGAGTTACTTTGTACACGGTTAATGAGTACACGGCTGAAGGAATACCGTTCGATTTTTAAATACTGGGTTTAACTATTTCAAGCTGTTTCATGAAACGATATGTATATATATATATGAGAATTTTAACGGTATACAAAGCGCGACATGATTCTCAAAGCGAACGATCGAACGAGGATTTCAAACGACGATGACGATTCTTTTTAGATATATAAATTCGCGTTGCGAAATTTTCGATAAATCTTCTATTTTTTGGGCGTGGACGAAATAAATAAATATTGATTCTAAGAATTAGAAGAGGATTAAATTAGATACTCACGTGGCAAACCGTCTGCTTTAGTAATCATCTCGATGATTTATGACTGGTAAATTAGTAACGAGTATTCATTAAGCTCTTGATAAGCAGTTCAATCAATCAACGAACCACGAACTCATTATCAATCTCACTTCGTTCGCTTGCTTACTTCCGTGCTAATTTCTAACCTCTAACCCGAATATTTAATCGAGCCATGAAACAGACACGCCCAAACAAAAACGTATCCAAACACGGTACCCAGACTTCTTTTCAAACCTCCTAATTCCACTTCTTCACTCTCTGAGAGGAGAAAAAAGATAGCACAGTGTCTTGAACGCGAACAAAACACGGAATCACATCAATATTCCATGGCGGTTACACGGTCGAGTTACACGCGGGAAACAAACAACGCAACAGCAAGGGAACGGAGAAACTAGGCATGCGCACACCGGACAAATGATCCCTCTGCCGGCCAATCTTTCGCGAGTTTAATTCCCCAGCGCCGTGACAGTCATCCGTGACATTAATTACACGGGCGTGGAACGGTGTTTCGAATCGAAGAATCGTGGTGAGCGCGGGCACAATTGAAAATGAGAAACACGTGACATAGGGGAGACACGAGTGCGAAATACACAAGGCGGAGTGGAGGAGTGGAGGAAGAGTAACGGGCCACGGGTCGAATGTATACACAAGTATATCGCGGCCTGTTCGCGAGCCCATTGCCGTGGAACACGGGGTTATTAGATGCAGGAACGTCGTGTCGTAATAAATGCACCGCGCATAAATACGCGGCAACGATATGCAACCAAACCGTCGGCCGCCGGCTCGTTTTCCGTGTCGTCTAAATTCCTTCGTCCGCGGCTGTGGAATGTATATACCCGAGCGTATTCGACAGTTGCACTTGAACCAGGAAATCGTCGTGGCCCGTGGAATTCCGCTTGTATGTATATATACGTGCGTGGATATATACGCGAGAGACGGCCGTTCCCCTCGTCATCTGGCACACACGCCAAACTATTTGGGGAAATTAACGTTTCCTCTCTTAGCGATACATTGCGCGTTTACGCTTCTCCCTTCTAATCTCCTTCTGGTAAAGAGGGGGCCAAACGACGATGACGATGTTAAGTGGATATCGCGGAGAGAAGCGATGTCGTTGAAATCGTTAAGGGATACGGTTGTTTATTGTTGCAAGTTTATGGGAGAGAAGAGGTGGATCTGGAGAGGTTGAAGTGGGCAGTGAAGTGCCTGCTTTCATACTGTTATCGCTTTGTTTAGCAGAGCCTCGACGTGAACATTCTCGGATATATACGTGAATAAATAAAGCTGTCCAATTATTTATTCAACTCCAGATCTAATGATATATTCGTCTATTAGCTTACGTCTGGTTCCAATTTCGATGGTAAACCTTTTTTTATTTCCTTTTCGAACATCGAGGAACGATTCGAATTGTTGACTCTCTTTTTATTTTACAAACGATGTAATCCAATTTTTTCCAAAGAGGAAAACACAAGTGGAGGAGGAAAAGAATAGAAACTAGGAGATTTCAATTTCTCTCGCAACGTGTAATCTCGGTGCAATCGGTTTGGAAAAAAGATCACCGCTCCGCTTGTTCCGCTCTGCTTGTGGGAGGAATAGCGAAAATCGTGATCGCAGCAACCCTTATCCTTAACATATTCGAGCGTTGCGCGGTTATTATTACACTCGTGTCTCGCCGACAAAGCGGCGATGACCAGGTGGCAATCACCGGTCACAATCCTGGCTACAATTAACGCTCGCAATTATGTCCTATTTCGAAACTTTGCAAAGGTGGGCGTGCGACGCGTAGGAGACGAACGTCACGATGATTACTCAATTACGGCCGATCAACGGCGGAGAGTACGATTGAATCCACGTGGAAACCGCTTTTTTCTCCTCCCCCCGCCGCGAGGCAAGCGTGGGACGCGGAGGTTAATTGCGCAATTGCGACTGGAGCGGGCTTATGAATTATTATTAACTCTGCTAGAGTGTTGACAGGAGAATATATAGTGTCGTCGTGATTTTTCACGATCGATACCGCTTCCTCTTCCTCGGATAATCATGCACAATGAATTAATACGAGGAAGGAAGAAAGTGATCTGAAATTCCTCTCGTTTCTTCTCTTTTCTTTTTTTATCGAGGTAGAGATACGATACACTTCGTGATATCGCAAATTGAACTTTGTCCTGCAAAAAAGAAATTAACAAAAACACTGTTCTATCGACGAGAGATCGGAGTACGAACGAATGAGAAAAGTAGTGATCGTGATCGTTCCAAAAAAAAAAAAGAAGAAAATCACAATTCAAAATTTCCCACGGTGAAGAGATGGAAGTTTCCAAAGAAACCGTCCGCGAAACCGGGATACTCTCCTCATAGCTTTTGTCGTCCCGTGATATTCGAGGTGGTCCGCTCGTTAACCGGGATCATCTCTCTCGTGGGAGATCCGCCAGGTAGCATCCATTTGCTCTTAGTTGAATTCCTCGGCCCGTCATTGTACTGGCTCATGAGACAGGACGTCGTCTGTGACCCGGTGGCAACGTAACGCTCCATTGTCGCGGAACAGCGAGGAATGCCACGAAATAAACCCGCTCCTCTCCTCCGACACCGCTACGCGCCACCCATTGTTCGCGTGTCCCCGAACACCTTGCACACGTTCCACGCAAGTGACAAGAATTTTACACGCCTCGTTGGTGAGGGAAACGGTCGATCGTCGACGGGCCGCGACAACGGGGGCATTGTTTCGCTGCCGAAAATCGCGCGCCATTTCTCATCACGGACATCAGATTCGTTATTGTTCCTCGTAACAGGCGATCATTGTCGTCGAGGACAAACAACTCCAAGCTGGATTACACGGCATACGAGTTTTCGCCTCGCTTTCTTTCTCAACGTCCCGTTCTTCGAAATTCCCCCAAGCGTGTTATCTTCTCGGCCGCGTGATTTATAGGAATTTCGTGGAATTATTTGCCAACGAGATTTTGCGCTACGAAGAAGAGATTTTGCAAGTTGTGGGTGCTTCAAAAGGGGTTAATAAGATAACGAAGATGAGTATTAACTAAACTAAATGATATAACGTGATACGAAAAGTCGCACATTACACGGATGTGTCTTCGTTTCGACATTAATCTCGTTTTAATTCACGCACACAATTTGAAATTGTTCACCTATTCGGAGCGTATCCGCAATCCGCACGTAGCAAATAATCAGCGAGAGGTCGGTCCCCTGGGGATCGTCCCTGGATCACCCAGTGCTCACTCACCTGAAATCAGAAAGCACAACGTGGTTGAGTGCATTCGGCCTCGTGCGTGTGCAGCCTGCGTTCTTTCAATAGAAACGGATAGAAGATCGTAAATTTACCTCGTTCACCTTGCTTGTTGGATAAGATACGCGGCAAGAATCGTGAGAAGACGCGCGCGAGTGGAAAGAGTCTTTACTCTCCCGTAAAGTTCGTGCCACAAATCGTGGATACGGAGACGAGAGAGAGAGAGAGAGAGAGAGTCTCGGTTTTCGGAAATTTGCATTGCCGAACGAATCACGCGGATGTTGTCAAAAATTAACGGCGCCTACGGGAAGCTTAATTATTTCTGACTCAAGTTTCCTTGGGAATCGCGAGTCTCCCCTTTCCGAAATGCAAATTTAGCTTCGAATCGGCAATCTTTAGACGACGACTTGACGGCTTCTTTATCGCCTGTGATTTCGAATTTTATTCCTCGATAGGCTGAGGATAGTTATTATTATCAACGTTATTATTTTATGTTAATTCGTCAAGGACGATGCTTGCAAGAATGATGCCTTCATACACGTCCAATTTTATTTTCAATTTATACGATTCGTGAATAATGGTATGTTGAAAACGAGATGTAAATCAATGGTGTTGATAAATAAAGTGGATGTTGAAGTAACGTTAGGGGATTATGGAGTTTTCTTACCTTATCCTATACAAATTTTTATTTTTTATTTTACTTTCTCCTTCTCGTCGGATCATCGCGTGAATAATTTTTTTTCTATTCCCACGTGCGAGTATGTTTTAAGTGAAAATCAAAGCAAACACTGTTTGCGTCAGTGATTGATCGCTGGATCTGTTTTCCCTCATTTTCTACAATTGTTTTCTACTAACTTTCTATAACTAAGTTTTCTATTCCCCTCCTGGTAACACACCAATCAATATTCGTTAAACTAAATGATATAACGTTACGATTCCGTCGTAAATTCATTTCAATTCAATATTCATTTTTCATCGATTTATCCATCATCAATTATACAAATATCGATAGAATTGCTCGAGAGAATTTTACCTCGATTTCACGTTTATCGCGAAGAAAATTACCGACAAGTTTATTTTACGAGAGTGTGTTACGATTCAATCTTATCGACTTTGATACCAATTATTACGGATGGATTATCGCGATAAAGTAGCTGTTACGTAACACATTAAGGTGGAGTCTTTGAAAAACACGCGTAATGCGTAATTTATCTGTCCAAATACTTGTGCGGCTACGATCCTACGTTTAACGCTCCTTTTATCGTGCCATTAAGCTGTAAACCACAAAATCACAGAGGAATGAAAAGGAACAACGCGAAATCTCAACGTGTAAACCGTTGATACGAGCGGCCCGAATAATGGATAACGTAAATCCCGGTGAAATATGATACTGTGATACACTGGTATTTCATACGAATTGTACTACTATCTTTAAAGTATACATTCACTAAACGTTCAATTTCTAAACGCGCGGGATAAATTTTATCATCCAAAGTATAAACCGCACGCTTACACATATACAAATCTCAACATCAATCGACCGAAACGCGTAATCCTCACATTTATCGACACGTAAAACGTCTCATTTTTCCAATATTCTATGTCCCAAGATTGCAGAACGTTTTCGATCCGGACTGATTAAATTTTAAAATCTCTTGATCGTGATATTTGCGTGATAGTAGCATAATCTAGAAAAAAAAAAAGAAAAAATCAAAACCTGGAAAAAATCTGGAATATCAAGAGAAACATTCGTGCCGTACGATACATTACATGGATATTGCAAATTTGAAGATCGAAAGTTGAGATATTCTAGAAAAATTTATTACAAACTTACGAATCGTAACGCGATAGCCACGCGTACGAGGAGGAAACGTAGCGCGGAGACGGTGTATTGTCGGGGATAGGAAAAGGAAGAGAAAAAATCGTGACGAAACGAGTGTCAAAGGGGCTTCCTAAAAGCCTTGGGGGTATCCACGTTACATCGAGGCTTCGACACCGGCGACATTCGTTCCGGCTCGGAGTCACGGTGCATCCAAGTTGAGAGAGAAGAAGAGGAAGAAGAAGAAGAAGAAGAAGAAGAAGAAGTGCGTTCACCCCGGCCGTTTGCATCGTTTACAGCCTCTGCAACCTTCTCTCTCCCGGTTTTCTAGACTCCTCGGTGGAGGAGCGGCTGGCTCTATCTCGACCACGGTCCACACTTATGCACTTACGCGTTAATGCCGTAACGACCGCCGTCGGCTGCCGTGGTTGCAGTTGCAGTTGCCTCGGACAGGCCGAGGGCAAGGCAGACTTCTTCGAGGGCGGCTACCGATTTATCCTCCTCGCGCCTTTTGTTTCGCGCCTCCTCTTTTCGATCGTTCCCTTCTTTTCTCTCTCCCCCCAAAAAAATCGAACCTACGATACGTTTCACGAAAGTGAAAACATTTGGAGATTATTGAAAATATCATTTCAAGAATATCAATATTCACAAAAATTAAATCAATCAATTTCAAGTTCAACGAACCCTCAAAATTCCCAGGGAATGATAAATCAAATTCCCGAGTAAATCTGCTATCGTGCATTCCACATTACGTTTCCAGCGAAACACGCGTTGGGATCAGTGGTGTGGCAAGCGAAGTCCATTTTTTTCCAGATATCTATCCCTATCCGCTCCAGAGCAGAAAGGTTTCGAGCGAGTGTAAGAGGTAAGAGATCGGAAGAAGGCCTTCACGGCCGTACGCCCGCTGTAAATTTTACTACGTCATCTCCGGGAACGACCTCGTCCCAGAACCGGCACTAAATCCTTTTACGATCGGAGCGGCAGCCGGCACCGCAACCTCCGTTCCCCCGATGTCGTTGACTCGCTTTTTCACTCCGTTCTTCTGGAGGCCGTGATCTCTCGAGGAAGAGTAAACAAGACATCGAACCCCGTCCGCAGCCAAAGGGCAGACACGGGAGGAATTTGGTGGTTGGAGTCGCGCGACAGAAGGGATTGCCCCCCCTCGAGATCTTATTGGCGACAATCTCGGTAAATTTGGAGGAGGAGGTTGAAGAAGGCACTCTGAAGATTTTTGGAGAGATAATTTGCATCGAGATCGATTTTTATTTAATTAGATGAATATTATTTTATGATTGAGAATCATGATTGTAAGTTATTTCGATCGAAATGAAGAATCATGTACATTTTACATTGATGAAGATTGAACGATGAGAATAGAAGGGTTGATTTATAGGAAATTGTTTCGAAGAGATCAAATTCTGATAAATACATTCGAAGAATGTTCTCCGACCGTTCAACGAATTTTTTTCACGTTTTTTTACATTCCGTTCAATAAGGAAACGTTGTGCAATCCGTTAACCGAGTGCGGATAATTGCACATAAACGTAATAGCGATTAGCTCACAATGTTCACGAAAGGGGGAAAAACGTGTCACCGATATCTTGAAATCGATTTTTATCTCTTTGTTGAAAGTTCAACTATATTTCTTCCAATTACTGGTACAAGCGTTTCTTTAAATTTCACTATTGATTCGAAACATCGACGAGTAAAACAATTTGCGCAAAAGTAGTCTGAATCGATAAAATTGACCTACAACTTAATTTGTCTGAAATAGATCGAGTCAATGGTCTCATAGTCAACGAGCATAGTCAACACTTTTATCGGAGAAAATATGCAGGACGGGTATCTGAAAAAGGAGTCTCTTATTTTCTGGTGGTTTTAAACAGTTCCTGATTTCTAGAAAGGTGCATTTGACGTGTATTAATTAACGTCCAGTTTGAACGAAGTTTCGACATAGGGTATCAGGCGGTACAACTATTTCAAACCGTGTTAAAAATCTATTTTGCGTGTAACAGAAAAAGAAAAAAAAATTTTAAAAACTAAAAGAGAATTTTACATCGCGTTCCTTTTAAAAATCTCTCTCTTCTGTAACAAAATATATCTTATCGCTCTGACTTATTATTATACGGTCTTATTCCGTAAAATTTCAACGCGAGCAAAAAGGTTTGAAAAGTCGTGCAAGGCTAGAAAGTATTAAATCGAGGGAAACGAGAGAATCCTCGGTCTGAATCTATCTAATCATGGTTTATGCAAAACAAGCGGCGCCGGAAGGAAATCCAGAGTAGCGTCCCGTGAAAATAAAGCGTGTCATCTTTCGCTTTCTAGGCGAATTTTGTTTTGCGCGACCTGTGCCGTTAATTAAGCCGCTTTCACCGTTTGTTCGCCGATGTGTACCGATTTCTCCGCCCGTCCACCAAGAAGACCAAGTTCGCCAATTCACTCGTATCAAAGCGCGATGACGTGTGCGTTTACGTTCAAGGGAACTTACATATCCTGTTAATTAATTCAACTCGTTGCGCAACATTCGTGCAACCTGCGCGCTCGAATGAGGAATGAATATGGGGCTTGGAAAGTCTATAAAATACCGATTGAAAGTATTTGTTTATTTTTAGCAGAACGTAATCTAATTATAAATAAAAAAGAAATAAGAAAATTGATTTCTTTTTGCTTCGATTCGTTAATTTCCCAATCTTGATAATCGTCTTGTAAAAATATTCTACGAATGAATTATTTGATTAAAAATTTAAAATTGAATATATATATATATATATATTTTTTAACGTAATCTTAGATCTTCTTGGAAAAACGCGTAAAAAAAAAAACTCAGTTAAACTCACATTCGAAATAGTATTATATAATTAGCCGCTTCCGTATTGCTATCTAAGTAAGTGCCTAACGCCTCCATCCTGTTAAATCGTATTTTCGCGTGAAAATATTCCCTCTTATACACGCCCATCAATGTTACACCTGTCACGCACTATATCCAGGCCTCATAATGGCTTTATTATTCCTTAAAATTGTGTTTCCATGTATAAATATAATCCTTTGGTCGTTGCATCCAATTACCAACCCTCCAAGATACCCCACATTAACCGATCCTCTGTAAAAATAAAATTGAGATTCGCCAAGAAAAAAAAAGATTCAAAGAGAAAAATGAAAAAATAAACGAAATAATCGA